CCAACTACATGTACATGTATGTCTTTTATATGCTTCACCAAAAGGACCAAAAGAACAGATAATCGTCATGAAAAAAGGACTCATACCATTGTCATGTGGACTGGTAGCTTTGTGGAAGTACAAGACATTGAAGACAATAATTTATTAATATGCAAGACGAATACCAAATTTACAAGCAAACGCTGAACCTTTGGGAGATGTCCTATAGTGGCTGCTAAAATATTATTCCAAATCGACAAGAAGCGCTATGTACATGTCTGGTCCTTCAATAGCAGGTGTGTACAAAACAGCCTCATTGGGCATCTGGCCTTGTTTTTCGGATGCCATTTTATGCTCCTTCTCAAGCACCTGATTATGCCCAAACTCATGCCTTCAATTATGCCTTCAATAGCAGGTGTGCATAACAGCCTCATTGAACATCTGCCCTTGTTTTTCGGATGCCATTTTATGCTCCTTCTAAAAAAAGGACCTGATTATGCCGACAATTATGCCGGCATAATCCGCTTACCCCTAAGTACATGTACATGTACAGTGTATAGGTGGCTAAATCAGAGTTGACCTGATCACACACACATACACACACACACACACGCGCGCACGCGCGCGCACACACACACAAACGCACACACACAAACACACACACACACACAGAGGGCAGGCACACACATGTACCACGCACGCATGCACGCACAAACACACGCACGCACGAGCGCACTCGCACACAGGTGTGACACACACGCACGCACGCACACGTACACACACCATGTACACACACACACACACACACGCGCGCGCGCGTGCACAACCACGCACTTACCCACAAACACTGGTAATGTGGGTCTCCTTAGGAGAGTGAGAGTGATTCAAAAGGAATCTTGAAGTTGAAAGAATGAATCCATTCAGTGACTATTGAACCAACGAACGACCGACATCCCTGAACTTCTCAAATGTGTGTGTATATCATTTTCAAATTTGGTACTGTGGCGAAAGTCATGGTGTTGGTATTACATCAGTGTAGTGAGTGTATTTGAGGAAGTGCTGGCAACATCATAAATTTCACGGTTCGCGTGAGACTCGGCTGGAAGCCGGGCTTTCCGCATCCGTAGGAACGCCACCACCTTTCAAGGATCAAGGCGCAGATGCAGCTCCTAAAGCGGTGGAAGCTGGCAAAGGGAATGTTTTCATTCAGCAGGGAGACAGATGGACTTGGAAATGATCCCACTTCACAGTGTAAGCAGGTGTTCAGTGATTCACTCTCGCCATTACATGGACCACTGCAACATTAGCATTACTTGGCGACAGTAGCAGGGTGACGGCTCTTCCCCCTCAGCGGCAATGACCTTTTCGTACTAACGTACATAATAGTGTATGTGTCTCAACTGCATGTACAGTCTGTTCTAATTTCTGCTGTTCGGGTATCTGACAGTGCACGTCCAAGCCAACGCTGAAGCCAGTACTAGAAGTCCTGTAGCATGCCGAAGACGCCAAACTACAATGTATCTGCCACTTGCCCACAACGGGTTTATTCAAACAATACGACATGGAAAGAAGGAAGAAAACCCAAAGATACAAGGGATGAAACTCCGATACTCGACGATGAAATCAAAGTGAAAATTTGAAAAAGTATAATCCAAAGAAACTCAAGGCAGATGCAATAAGGTTGTGTAAAAGATTCAACTCAATCCCTGGACGAATGCTTTGAAAAATGTAAAGTGTGCGTGAATGATTGGATGAATGATATCTGCCACTTGCCATTCTGGTCTACTAATAGTGTACATTGTACCGTATACTATTATTATGAAAAAAGAGTTGGTGGACAAGCCGTTGATTATTCACTCTCATTGTAATATCAAAAAGTATTCTTTCTAGACCAAAGAGTGGTATATTTGATAACATTTAATAACGATAGAAATTTTTTACGATACTTCGCCAGACGTTTCGTTGTTCTGAACAACATCGTCAGTGGATAAAGAACTATTATTATGACTGGCTGTGGCCTGACGCCTGCCAGAACATGTTTCTCTACAGTGCACGCCAGCAGCGCTCGTTGACAAGCGCATCATTGACAAGCGCGCTGGCGCTGTCGTCGGGCCTGGCGCGCCAGGCCCGCAAGGCCAGGAATTAGCAGGAAAATCCCATAACAACTTGAGGATGGCGATAATTTTAATTACCGAACTTCCGGATCAATTCGGTGATAATTAAAATGCATTAGCCACGTGTCCCAATAATTATTACTAATAATTGCCAATCGGACTGGAATCACAGTGGATAGGTCGACACACATGTACGCGTGTGCTGTCCTGCCGACTAGAACAAACTCTTGGCTGACTCACGACTGCCGTCCAGCGCTGGCGAAGAGCCGGAAAAGTCCATGGAGTCATTCAACTGGCCAATTTTAAAAATATCTTGCAAGAAAGCAACTACAGTGTACCGCTCCTTGCCCGATGCACACACACACAGTGCTGTGTCATGTCAGGCTGCTTACTCCTCATCATCATTTACAGTTAGCCCTAGCCTATAGGGTACGCTGGTCATCCCGTGACGCTGCACCACAGCACAGTCCACAGTCCGCAGCTCGAAGTCTACCTGTACATTTACAACGTCCAGAAGAGAGCATTACTAGCAGGGAGTAGTACAATACCATAATATTATGGTATTGTACTACTCCCTGATTACTAGTATCTATTTTATTTTATTTATTTATTTTATTTCGGCCAGTCGGCTACTATCATTTCGTCTTGGGGGTATGACTTCACTATTTCATGGTGATCGCCTGTCTCTACTAAAGGCTCAAACTCAGGATTTACTGCTGCCATTATGAACAGAAGGGCCAGCAGAAACATCCAGCAGCTCAACAATCATAATCATTATGATATGGTCGCCAAGGCGTACATGTACAATGTGCAATGTACATGATAGCATGGCTTGGAGACGTCAGTTGTGACTGTAATGTCGCATGAAACGTCGATTTGGAGGGAGTTTGACATCATGCTGGGTATGTGCATATCCAACAACTGGTAGCTAGTATTACCTTCACTAGGGGCAGGGTAACTGCAGTTGGATCCCTGGACGGAGACCCTGATGCCGTCAATCCTTTTTCTGCACCTTGTCCTCACTCACTTACTGAGGTGTGGTGAGCCCATAAGTGGGATCATTTTCAAGTCCACCCAGAGTTTTGGGGATTTCAGGGGGTGTCGGCCGTTGGGCGGTTCAATAGCCAATTGAGTCATCTTTCCAAGATTCCTTTTCAGTCTCTCCCTCTCCACGAGACCCACGTGACCAGTTTTGGCAGTGAGCAACAAGTACACGACTTTTAGTACAAGTACAAGTGTATATCCATTCGTTCGAGGGAGATAAACATTAATACAATATGAGTAAAATAAACCATCCGTCGCAATTGTAGCACAGCTATTGAGTTGGAATGGACTCTCCGTCTTTTTTTCTATCTCCGCGCTCTATTGTTTGAATGAGGAGCTCTCTCCGTAGATAGTGGACACTCTTTACTCTTCTGGAGGACAATGATTCAGTGAGGCGTGGGGCATATACCGACTGGATTGTGATCACATTATCAATGCAGCGTTCGTGTAGACGGCGTTCAGACTCTCACAAACCATATTTGTCTGTCCAGAGGATGCACAAACCCAACTTTGTAAAGGAAATCATTATCGCAGAGGGAGAGCAGAAATACTTTAGTCCATATCAGATGCCCAATCTCGGAACGATCACCTGGGAGCGGACACGCACATAATATCATTGTACGTGTGGGTAGTGGGACTCGAATTCACCAGCCCGTGATTCAGCGGCAAAGTATTAATACTCCAGCTCTAGTAATTCTGCCACCTGCGCACATTTCATTGATACAGCAAGCGTGGTTGATATTCCAGCACACACCCAACGAAAAAAGACCAGTTCTTGCCCAGACTAATCCATGTCCAATGTCACAGTGGAAAAGCTAGCAGGTCGACTTTAAAAAGAAAAGGCGATGTACTGACAATAGGGCGATGTACTGACAATAGGGCGATGTACTGACAATAGGGCGATGTACTGACAAGGGCCGCGGCATGAGGACAGAAGAGCAAACAGTAGACGATTATAGACGATAGTACACTGTGCAAAGCAGTTGTCCGTCTCCTGAATTTCACCCCATGTTCACATGCAATATCCAATAACAAGCACGCGAATCGCTGCCATTAGGACACTCGTGACAGCATGACGTTGTAGCAACTGCTGCGAATCGAATGCGAAACGAAAGTTTGATTCGACTCGTGCTAGTTTCGTTGAAAGCAGGGAGCCCTACACGTACAATACAATCATGTACATTATAGTACAGCACTGAGTGTACATGGTATGCGTAGGGCTCCTTGATGCAAATGTGCCCTCATATTCATAAGCAACTCTGACGAATCCTTGAACCCAGGCAACGAATCAGCATTAATAAAATTTTTGTTTCGTATCCCTGCGCGTGAAGCGAAAGTAACGGTCGGAAAGGTCCCTCTAATTATTGCTGTTTTACGAGTGCCGTTATGAACTTCAATATTATCAGAAAGAATCTATCACAATTATTAGTAATTATGAGACCAAATTGTTCATAATGAGCGGATTCTTGTATGTCTATTTCGCCAGCACTTCCTCCTGCCCCAGCGCGTAATGTCACTTTTCCAATAATGACCCGGATATGACTGGGGATTGCCATTATGCTTCTATGATTAAAAGCAAGGCCTGCTTATAATTAAAAGGAGTGTGGAATGTCATCACTAATGATTCATTAGCATTGCTGTGTCGACAGACGACCTGCACGGACTGACATTATCCCACCAGCGCTGCAGCCATCCTAACAGCCGCACATGGACATTGTACATTTAATGTGTAATGAACGTGTGCAAGGCAATGATGTCGCTGCGGAGCTGGCCCATCATGAAACTTCCCGCATTCCGATAATTTCTACGGGACGGACGAAACTTGAAAAGCACAGCACAGTCTACCAACAGGTGAACCGGGTG